CCCAGGCTTCAGGTGCAGGAGCAGCCACTGGCGCCCGGAACCATGGGGCAGGCAGCTTATCCATCTCCCAAGCCACTGGTCTCTATTCCTCTCTCACGAGCTCATTTGTGCCTGGCTGGTCCCCATTCCTCTCTCATGAGCTCATTTGTGCCTGGCTGGTCCCCATTCCTCTCTCCCCCGTGTTGAGTGTCTGAGCTGGTGTGATGAGGGTGTGATGACCATTTGCATATTAGCTCTTATTATGTAGGATATTTTTATTTATTTCAGAGAGGAAGGGAGAGGGAGAGAGAGTTAGAAACATCTATGATGAGAGAGAATCATTGATCTGCTGCTTCCTGCACACTCACTGCTGGGGATCGCGCCTGTAACTGGGCCATGTGCCCTTGGCTGGAATGGAACCTGGGACTCCAGTCCACAGGCCCACGCTCTATCCACTGAGCCAAACCGGCCAGGGCCTCCTTTTCCTTTTCTTTAACCAGCACTGACATTCATAGACGGAGCACTGGGCCCTTCTTCCAAAGGAGTCCAGAGTGTCAGGTGGTGCCTGGAGTTCCCACTTTTGAGGGCCCTTCCTAGCGGAGTGCCCTGTGGGGACTGACTGCACAGGTTCCTGCCTGGTCTCACTTCCCATTCCTCAGCATTTTCTTGATTTCTCAGGGGTGGGGTGGGGTGTAAGGTCCTGGAGACTGGCCTTCCGAGTGTTCTTGCAAATGGACAATTGAGAAAAGCCACTCTTGGGTTTAACAACAAAGTTAAACAATGGGGGTGGGAGAGGTACCCCCTTGTTTATTCCTCTATCCCCCCCCCCCAAAAAAAAAAACCCCGATAACCATGGCAACCAGGGCTCTGCCTTGATGCCTCAAAGCCCAGGATGCTCAAGGCTGTGTTTTTATGAGCAAATCTGTGGCTTTGCGTTTTGTTAGATGCTGAGATGCTTTCCCAGGGTTTCCCGTTTGTCCCAGAAAAAGGGACACAAGTGTTTGACATAACGGTGCCAGCACCTCAGCACCCAGGCAGCCCGGGCAGCGTGGCAGAGGGCTCTCGGTGGCAGTGGAGTGTGCGTATGTTGTGTGTGTGTGGGGGGGGGGGGCCTGCGTCTGTGTGTGTGTTGGGGTGAGGCTGCTGCTCTTGAGCGTGTCATGTTGTGGGCTAGGAGGAGGGAGTGGAGGCGGGCTGAGCACATTCTTTCTGGAAGGGTGAGTAGGTGGGTGGCTGGCTGGGCCTCCTGCCTGCCCCCGGGGGAAGTGAAATAAAAAGAAATGCGGAGGGGGTGGACGTGGGACTGAGTGAAGTGGCATTTCCTGGCCTGGGGCCTGGGGAAGGAATGCTGTGGAATTTATTTAGAAAGCCTTCAAACCAGCTGGGTATGGGTTGTTGCTTTTTTTCTCTTTTCATTTTTTTACTATTCTAGTTTGTTGCTCTTGTTCTTTTCAAAGTTATAAGCATGCTTATGTGGCTGCTGTTTGATCAAAAGCAATGTTCCCAAGGGACAGTGCGCTGACAGTCCAGAAACTAGGATGTGACTACAAGAAAGACGATGCCTGGTTAATGAGCGGGGACCTGGGCCTTGATTTCCAACACGAGGCGTTCTTTACAGTTCAGGGACAGGAGGCCCCTGGCCCGACACTTGTGATGTTCTTTATTCACGTTTCTTTACTTTCGGAGGAGAGAGTTGGTGGTTTTGAAGTAAAGGAATTCCGCTTCTGAGTGGAGTCACTGATTTCCAGCCGTTTGACCCAAACTATTTGCAGGGTTGAGGGTACCCCAGACCTTATTTTCCCCTCCCCCAAAGGCACTCCGATTGCAACCACAGCAAGCAGGGCTATTTTAGGCTTGCCGCACGCATGGCGTTTTCTGCTCTCCTGGTGTTTTTCCATAGGACTCGGTGTCCATAATAAATTGTGTAAGCAGCCAGGGTCTGCGTTTTCTGAGACAGGAAGGGACAGCACGTCCTTGACGTCGAATGTGGGTGTAAAGTTCTGCAGAGCATCGTGGCCTGTTCCCCCAGCTGAAGACTCGGGGAGCCCAGAGCCCAGTCCCTGCCGGAAGCTGATGGGGAAGTGCCTGGGGCAGCCTGAGGGGACCTCAGCAGACAGAGGGGGTGAGCCGGATAGAGAAGTGTCCTCGGCTGGTTTTTGTGGTTTCTGTGTCCTTCTGCATTTCTGTGTCTGTATGTCAGAGGAACCTGGCAACAGTCCCAGCCACTTTTCACGGGGTTCTCATCTGTAACCCCTGAGCCTGTTCCCACCGAGACGGTCCGCCCTCCTGCTTCACCCTCCCCTGTGGACTTGGGTGTCCGACCTTCTGTCCTGTCACCCGTACATGGGGCCGTCTGTGGTTTTCTTCTTGCTTCCCTTATGGACCTTCTGTGTCATCTACATTTTCTAGGGATGGACCTTCCTCTTCTCCATAACCTTCCATGGTTCCCACTGCTCCATAGCAGTGCTCTCCCGCAGAACCAGGAAATGGGCCACATAGGTATTTTAGTAGCCACATTTTTTAAAATTGAAAAGAAACAGCTGAAATGCATTTTAACATCATACTGTAACTCAGCTCCATATATCCAAAATAGTATCGTTTTGACATACAGCCGATATTTAAAAATTATAAACAAGATATTTCACATTCATGTATTTTATTTATTTATTTATTTTTAAATATATCTTATTGATTTTACACAGAGAGGAATTGAGAGGGACAGAGAGTTAGAAACGTCGATGAGAGAGAAACATCGACTAGCTGCCTCTTGCACACCCCCTACTGGGGATGTGCCCACAACCAAGGTACATGCCTTTGACCGGAATCGAACCCGGGACCTTTCAGTCCGCAGGCCGACGCTCCTCTATCCACTGAGCCAAACCGGTCCCGGCCACATTCATGTATTTTAAAGTACTTGAAATCTAGGGTGCATTTTACATCGACGTATCCCAAATTAGATGCTAAAATTTTATCAAAAACATAAAATTGATTGGAGAGGGAGAGGGATAGAAAGTTAGAAACATCAATGAGAGAGAAACATCAATCAGCTGCCTCCTGCACATTCCCTACCGGGGATGTGCCCACAACCAAGGTACATGCCCTTGACTGGAATCTTACCTGGGACCCTTCAGTCTGCAGGCCGATGCTCTATTCACTGAGCCAAACCAGTTAAAGCAGTGGTCGGCAAACTCATTAGTCAATAGAACCAAATATCAATAGTACAACGATTGAAATTTCTTTTGAGAGCCAAATTTTAAAAACTTAAACTTCTAATGCCACTTCTTCAAAATAGACTTGCCCAGACCTTGGAATTTTGTGGAAGAGCCACATTCAAGGGGCCAAAGAGCCACATGTGGCTCGAGAGCCACAGTTTGCCAACCATGGGGTTAGGGCAAAAAAACATCCGGTCTCGATTCAGAGTGTATTAAATTTGCTGTTGCAAAAGTAGATTCACCTACCTGAGGTGTCCCAGACTTACATACACGTGTTCTAATCAATGAATTCCATATTCAGTTTTAAATTTAGATTGCTTAGACTTAAAAACAATTTGAGAATCGAGTTCCTCCGTCACGCTGGCCGTATTTAAAGTGTTCAACAGCCTTGTGAGGCTGGTGGCGACCCTGTTAACCTAAATAGAGAACATTCCACACTCCCAGAGAGTTCCATTGGACAGCCTGGTCTTATCAAGTCCAAACAGCCCAAAAGGACTTTCAAAATTTTCAACAGCCCAGCCCCAACCCGAGCTCCGTATTTTGACTTTGTCTTGCGTGTGTCCACTTTCTGGTGACTCTCTTTCCACTTTGAAATACACGGCCTTCTGTCCCTCCAGAGGTCTTTTTTCATGCTTGGCTGGACAGCAGCGCTTCCCCGAAGGATTCTGCCCTTCTCCCCGCAGCAGAATGAATTGCTGCCTCTGCTTCCCAGGGGTTCGAGAAGACCCAGCCGGATGGGCAGGGGTCGCAGGCCCGTTCGGAGCCCCGGACCGGCCCGTGGCTCGCTGCCCCGGGAGCTCATACCCCATCTCTCCTGGGACAGGTTTGAATGGATCTCCTCTAACAGCAGCCTTGGCCCTGCCCCGTCGGAACACAGAGCCGCACAAAGGACGGCCCTGTGTCCTCCCCGCGGCTGCCCGGGGGCTGGGAGCGGGGCGGTCAGACCGGGAGCGCACCCTGGGTGCGGGCCATGTAATTCTAGGCGGGCATCGGCTCGGAGAGGAGAAAAACAACCCTTTCTTCGCCCTCACAAAAGGAAATGTGGGCCTGGCCGCTCGGATACTCATTTTCCAAACTAGGAACTGTGTGTGTGTGTGTGTGTGTGTGTGTGTGTCCTTTTTAAAGAACTATAACATATATATAGGAAGTGCATAATTATACAACGCAAAGTTAGCGTGCCCATGTAACCAGCCCCCCCCCGATGAGGAAAGAGAACATGACCGGCACCCCAAAAAGGCCTCCTTCCCACCCCCTCCACACTCTTCCCCGCCTCCTCGGAGTCCCCCCTACCCTGCTTTCTGACCCATGACTCATCTCGCCTGTTTCGGAACTGTGTGTCCTGGCTTTTGCTCAGCACTCTGTTCGCCATAGCTTGTGGTTGGTTTCGAATGCCTTGGTCCTTTCTGGCATCGGAAACTATTCGTAAAAAAAAAACCGCGGTGGTTCAAAACGAAGCAGACACCCGGTGTGAAAGACAGGTTGCTGTTGGGTGGCGGTCTGAAGTGTGAAGAACCTTTTGCTTCCGTTCGTTCTGAGACGTTTGTCTTTGGGGTTTTCTAGGATTGGGCGATTTTCGGTTGCCCAATCATTTACCTTTTATCTTTACTTAATGAATCCTGATTAAGGTGATCATTCTTGGGTCTTGGAAAGATGTGAACTCCCTGTCTGGCTTTTGGCCACAACTGGACAGGGGTCATTTCTTCCGGTTTTCTTTGTGTCGGGTAGAAAGTTAAAGAAGAGGGCGGAGGAGAGCGAGCGAGAGAGCTCTCCATTAAATTGCTTATGTGGTGTCTTCTGGTTTTGCCGTAGGTGAAATGTCTGCTCCGGGATTGTACCAGGCGGCCGCCGGGCCCTCGTCGGCCCCCTCCGCACCCCCAACTTACGAAGAGACGGTGGCCATTAACAACTACTTCCCCACGCCTCCGGTGCCCGGGCCCACCACGGGGCTGGTGACTGGCCCCGATGGGAAGGGCATGAACCCTCCTGCGTACTACACCCAGCCAATGCCCATCCCCAACACCAATCCAAGTACGTGCGACCTCCCCTCCGACCGCCCGCCTCCCTGTCCCCCTTCCGGCCCGGCCTTCGGTCCAGTTTTCCTCCGTGTGAAATGTTACAGTCTCACAGGTTCCGCACCGCTGAGGCTCACGGCTTTCCCACGATCAAGTACCGTTTATGAGCTTCCTCAAGTCGGCCATAAATCACCCCTTTGGCACTCACACTGTGCCGGAGAAATCTGGCAACGGCGGCTTGCTTTCAGAGACCTCACCCTTCCCGCCGGGGTTTGCTAGAAGCCTGGGCTCTGAGTGGAGGCGGGAGTAAGAGCCGGAGGAGAAACCGCCCCGCGTGAGGAATGGGGGAGCAGAAACCCCTCCCAGCCCCCCAGCGCTCCATGTGCACAGGGTGCTCCCCTGCCTCCCACAACCTTTATTTTTATACCCGCTAAGGGTTTAGTATCCAACATACATGCAGAACGCATACAGCGTAACGCCAAGGAGACAACCCAGTTAAGAAACGAGCAGACAGCCTGAAATCACAGTTCTCCAAAGGGGACACACAGATGGCCAGCAGACGGGAAAATTTAGGCTCCTTGTCACTAAGCATCAGAGAGACACAAATCAACACCACAATCAAGTATCGCCTCACACCTGTCAGAAGGGGATGGGGTGGGGGGCTTCTTTCCAAGCTTGTTCTCCAGTCACTGCCTCCCAAACTACCTGAAAAGAAAGCTCATGTAACCAAGTGTACCATGTGCTGTGCACAGAGGGCTCGTGACTGAGGCCAGGCGGTGCTGACCTCCAGGGCAGACAGGGTCCTCTCCGTGCACCGGCGTTCATTTGTGTCGCCCAGGGAAGACACCCGTGTGGACACGACACGTACAGTCCGTGTGCAAGGAGAGTCTCAGCCCCTCTCCCGTTGCACCCCATCGGCCCTCACACCTGTTAGGTCACCGCTTTCAGCACTGAGGTCCCCTCCCACGTTTCTCTCTACAGACATAATGAATACAAATACATATTCTTGCCACTTCCTTTTCTTACAGAAACGGTAGCGTGCTATACACATGCTGTGTGTGTGTGTATACGTATATTCTTTTGTACCTTGTTTTTTTCCCCTCCACTTACCACAATGTCCATATGAGTCCACAGACAACGTCTTCATTCCCTTTTACAGTGCCGACAGAGTTATCACGTCCAACTTTAGAAATGTTGCCGGCCTGGTCAATAAAAAAATGTTATCTTAGTACAGTTTTAAATTTCATGCACCTTAGAACGCAGGAGGCTTATCATCTTTTCGTTTGTTTAAGCCCATCTGTATTTCCTAATAATAACACCTCTTTTTTGCTGGAATTCGCTGAAGCAGGTTCCTGTGGTTTGCATACTGTCACGCTGTTTTATTTATTTTTAAAATATATTTTATTGATTTTTTTACAGAGAAAAAAGGAGAGGGATAGAGAGCTAGAAACATCGATGAGAGAGAAACATTGATCAGCTGCCTCCTGCACACCCCCTACTTGGGGATGTGCCCGCAACCAAGGTACAAGCCCTTGACCAGAATCGAACCTGGGACCTTTCAGTATGCAGGCCGACACTGGATCCACTGAGCCAAACCAGTTAGGGCACTGTCACGCTGCTTTAAACCCCTTTTTCCCGGAAGCCAGAGTGTTTCTTCATGCCCTTATTTTGATATCAGTCCTTGAAGGACCAACATGGAAGAGCTGGATTTTGCCCCAAGTGTCTGTCCTTCTAGAGATTAAGGAAAAGGGGTCTAAAGTGAGGGAAGGTGGGCTCTGCCTCCAGCTTCCCAGACTTGATCGAGTTTTGCTGCTAAATGCTTGAGTTGGGAACAAGCAATAGGGTGGCCTGTTGATCATGATTTGATAACTCCACAAACATCCACAGATGGGACATTCTTATATCTTTTTCCTTTCTTCTCTTCGTGTCTTCTCTTCCTCTTTCTGCTTTTGTTATTCCATACGTTATTCCGGGTCAGAAGTCTGACAGGTCTCCCAGGCTGAAACGAAGGTCTGGGTGGGCTGCCTTCCTTCCTCCAGGCTCTAGGAGAGAATCCATCCCCATCGCCTGCCCCACTTCTTGTCTCATGGCCCCCTTCCTCCATCCTTAAAGCCACACCAGCAATCCAAGTCCCGCTCACTGTCACATGGATAAGGGCAGAGATAGAATATTGGGGGCCCACTAGAATTGTAGGAAGTATTAACCATGCTCCGTTAACCATGATGGTTTTGTTCTGATGAAAGAAGGCACATTCTAGCCCGGCTGAGAGCTCACCTGGAGATGCAGCCCATCCTCCCCCTCAGGGAGCTGCCTGTTATCAGGGCAAGTTTAACAACCTTGTTGCAGAAACCAGAGCGACCCCCCCAGCCTTTGCATACCCATGGGCCTTTGCAAATCTCCAGACCTGTCAACTGCCCATTTGGCATAACCTTTTGCCTACTGACTTGCCCTTTGAAGACCCCCAGCCTTTGCATACTTTCCGGCCATTGCAAATCTCCAGCCCCCATTATCTGTCGCCTACTTCCCCATGTAATCTTTGTCCTTCTGCCCACTATAAGCAGCTGGCTTATGGGGTGCGGGGGGTAGGGCTGCAGAGCAGATTTTTGTGGGTGACCTGCAGTATGGGAATAACCACTCATAGGTGACTCAACCCTGTCTCTGCTTAATTGGCTCAAGTAGTGACAGGCGGCCCAGGCCCATGGATTGTCTGTCCGGTTACAACATCCCATTATTGCTTCGTGGCCATGGCCCCTGGCCTGTGTCCCTTGGCAGGGGAGTTCCTGCTGCCGAGGGAGGGACACAGCCGATTCAAAATCACAAGCAGCTCAGGAGGAAATCGCCTGCTCAGAGAGTGGTCCCCGGGGTCTGCCCGGGTCACCTCACCCGCTTGGGCCTCAGTTTCCCCTTTTTTAAGTAAGTAAGGGCTCATCGGGTACCTGTATCAGTGAGTTCTTAAAATGAGATAACATTTTATGAGTAATCATTTCATAAAAGTGCTCAAGTGACTTTGACCCCTCGAGAAGGGAGGGGACAAGATAACTTTTGATTATTTTAGATCGCCGCTCTCTGCTCCATAAATAACTCATTCTTGCAGCCCACCCTCAACCCTACCCCAAAAGTCTTACTAAAACTGACAGCAGGTGCTAAAGCAGGCTCAGGGCTGCTCTTCCGGGAGAAGTGTCAGGCTCACCTAGCCCTGGGCGGCGTTCATTTCCTCTGAGGGCAGGGGCATTCCAGCAGCCCAAGGACGGACCAGGAGGAAGTCCCCGTGACAGAAATATGAGCTTCAACACCTTTGCCAAACACCACAAAGAACACGTAAAACGCGCGGGGCTTTGGGACTGACATGCCTAGATCCTCTCCACTTGCGAATGTCTGTCCAGACACGTTGGCCGTGGAGTTTCCTCTCTTTGGCGTGACCTCACATCCTCGCTGCATGTGCTCAGGTGGTTCCCGGGCTTGTCCTGCTCTGTGACCCGGCCTTTCCCCTGGCATTGGAGTTGGTAAAGGGGCCTGTTTTATGAAAAGAGGGAGTTGTTTATCGAGGAGCCCCTCTGTCCCAGAATCGGTGAGAGGTTCTTCCTTTACCAGCATTATCTTACTTAATCCCAACAACAACTTCGTTACATCCATTTCTTATTTTATTTTATTTTTTAAATATATTGATTTTTTTTTTTTTTAAGAGGAAGGGATAGGGGTAGAGAGTTAGAAACATTGATGAGAGAGAAACATCAATTAGTTGCCTCCTACTGGGGATGTGCCCGCAACCAAGGTACATGCCCTTGCCCGGAATCGAACCTGGGGCCCTTCAGTCCACAGGCTGATGCTCTATCCACTGAGCCAAACCTGTTAGGGCTACATCCATTTTTTAAATAACAGCTTCGTTCAAATAAAATTCTCAGACCGGAAGGTTTGGTCTCTTTAAGTGTACACTGGTTTCTGTCTGTTCGCAGCACTAATTCCAGAATGTCCCATCACCCAGAAGGAAATCCGGTACCCTCTACACCCGTTAGCAGTCATTCCCCAGCCCCCTCCCCCAGCCCCTGGCCGTGTAATCTGTGGGTGAGGAAAATGGGAGCTAAAACCCGCCATGTCACAGTCTCTGAGATTACCATCTGCAGACCACAGTCGCAGAACCATTCGGAACTTAACACAGTTTGGGGACCCTTCCCGGACCAGCTGGATCAGGCTGTGCCGGGGCGGGGCCCGGGCACCTGCATTCTCAGCTCCTCCCATGGCTCCATGGCCAGTTGCCTTTGGAAGCCTGGCCAACCTGGGCACAGGCCTTGCCCCGCTCGCCTGTGGGGTTCTGAATGTCCCTCAAAGGCTATTTCTGGAAATCTACCACTTTCCTCTTTTTCCCTTTTTGTCATCCCCGCTATTATTTTTAATATTAGATTTGTGTGTTTTTTTTTTTTTTTTAATATTAGAATTGTGTGTTTTTTAATAGCGCATACATGTCAGAGCAAAGTGCTGCACATACAACTACAGGTCATTTTGGGGGGAGCGTGTGAGAAATAAAAGTGCAGCTGCTTTAGTTGTGCAGTCCCGCCTCAAGGGAGGACTCCGCAGTGAAGGTGCTCCGGCCCCTGGCAGCCGCTTCCTGGTGGTGCTGCCCAATTTCTGCAGCCCTGGGCCTCTCCACCTTATTTTTTAAGTTAAGGTAAAATCTATGCTAATTAAAGGGTAATATGCTAATTAGACCGGGTCGACCAGACATCTTCTGGCCATCTGACTTCCAGACAGTTAGGGGGCAACCAGGCCAGCAGGGGGGCAGTTAGGGGGAGATCAGGCCATCAGGGGGTTAGTTAGTGGGGAGCCAGGCTGGGATGGGGCCTAAACTGACAGTGGGACGTACCCCGAGGAGTCCCAGATTGGAGAGGGTGCAGGCCGGGCTGAGGGACACCCCCCGCCCACCATGCACAAATTTTGTGCATCAGGCCTCTAGTATACAACATAAAATATATCATCTTAAGCATTTCCAAGTATAAGCACATTCACATCATTGTGCCACCACCACCACCCATTTCCAGAACTTTTCCATGTTGTAAAACTGAAACTCTGTCTCCATTAACTCCCCAGCCTCCTCCCTCCGCTCCTGACAACCACCGTCCACTTTCTGTCTCTATGAGGGTGACTTCTCGAGGTGCCTCCTGGATGAGGGATCCGGCAGCATCTGTCCTTTCTTGTCTGGCTTATTTCACCGAGCGTAACATCCTCAAGGTCCATCATGGTGCATATGTGAAGGCGGAATCATACTCCGCTGTGTGGATGGACCACATTTTGCTTATCTGTTCACCCATCGAAGGACATTTGGCTCTAGAAATAGTGCTGCTGTGACCAGGGGTGTGCCTCCCCCTTGTCTTTTAACAGATGTCTCCTGGTTTACTGACCGGCTCTCTCCTCTTCCCTCCCATCAGTTACCGTGCAGACGGTCTACGTGCAGCAGCCGGTCTCCTTTTTCGACCGCCCGGTCCAGATGTGCTGCCCTTCCTGCAACAAGATGATCGTGACCCAGCTGTCCTACAACGCCGGCGCCCTCACCTGGCTCTCCTGTGGGAGCCTGTGCCTGCTCGGGTAAGCCAGGTCCCCTCGGAACCCCGGCTCTCCCTCATTCCTCGCTCGCAGGGTTTCTCAGCGGTAGCACGCACTTCTGTCTCGTGGGGTGCCGTCCTGCGCATAGAGGACGTTGCTCAGCATCCCTGGCCTCCACCCACTGTGTGCCAGGAGCACCTCCGAAAATCGTGATAAATAGGAATCGTCCCCCGTTGAGAACCACTGCTCCTGAGCATCTCAAAGCTTGGGAGCTGCTGTCCCATCATTGCTTCTTTCTTGTTCATTTTGTTAATCCACACACGAGGATATTTTCCCATTGACTTTTAGAGAGAGTGGAAGAGAGAGAGAGAGAAGGAGGGAGAGAGAGAACCATCCATGTGTGAGAGACACATCAATTGGTTGCCTCCTGCATGCACCCCAACCAGGAATGGGGATCGAACCTGCTATCCAGGTGTGTGCCCTTGATTGGGAATCAAACCGAGACCCTTCGGTGTGGGGGTTGATGCTATAACCCCTGAGTTATACTGGCCAAGACCCATAATTCCCTCTTGCTCATCTGCTCACACCACTCCCTCTATGACATCTAGTGCATGCAGTGACCAGCAGAGCATCCACGTGCGTCTTGTAGCGTGATACCTTAGGGATCTCTGTTTCTTCCAGGATTCCGTGATCTAAATCCCAATGTTTGCCTCACTCCGAGAGAAGCTTTAAACATCTGCACATTACATATACTCGATAGTCATCTCTTTAAAATGTCTTTCCCTTTTATGAGCCCAAGTGTTTTTCCCATGGCCTCCACAAGGGGATGTGTAAATATTTATGTCTGCACCAAGGACATTTTATTGAAAGAGACAATAATTTCTGTTCTGAGAGAAACTTGAAGATACACAATTTAATCCCCTGCGCACCCCCCCCCCCCCCCCGCCCTCTCCCAACAGATCCAGGCAGCCTCCTGGCTCCTGGCCGTGGACTCTCTCGGAAAACCTTAGGGCTCTGTGTTCTTCCCCAGAAGCAGGGTGTTCGTGCGTTTCTTTTCAGGAACCCCAGCCTCTGTGCGACTGGCTCTGTCTCCTTTGCTGCAGGCCTGCTGGCTCGTGGGTTAGAGACAGTATTGGGGGGAACTTTGTGTGGTGGTTGCTGTGAGAAGCAGCCTCTCCACGTGGAAAGGGGATCAGTCCGAGACAGAGGTCAGCAAACTCCAGCCTGCTGTGAGCTGGACTGGAACACATCACCTCCGTCTATGGGCCATGACCTCTGGCTGCTTTCACACTGCAGCGCGGATAAAAGAGGTGCTCTCTGGCCCTGTACCAAAGAGGCTCCCCAACCTTGGTCTGAGGCTCTGGAAGGTGCCCAGATAACTCAGGGCTTGAAAACACACTCGGCACAGTCTGTCGGTGGGAGCAGGCTTGGCAGTGGCTGGCGTAGTCCTTTCCTAGAGCTGCCATAACAAATGACCTCAAACCTGTTGGTTCAGAACAATAAGGATTGATTCTCTCTCAATTTTGGAGGCTTGAAGTCCAAAATCAAGGTGCCATTCCTCCCCCCCCCCCCATTCCCCTCCAAGGCTTTAAAGCAGTGGTTCTCAACCTTCCTGATGCCGCAACCCTTGAATACAGTTCCTCATGTTGTGGTGACCCCCAACCATAAAATTATTTTCGCTGCTACTTCATAACCGTAATGTTGCTACTGTTAACGAATCGGAGTGTTTTCCGATGGTCTTAGGCTCTACAACAGCGGTTCTCATGTAATAAGATATCCATGGTCATTCTATACATTGCTTGCCACAGACCTGGAATCAACCATTTGTTCAGGAAGTCTTGTATTCTTTAGTGGGAAATACATTTATAGGCCACGGTCTTGGCATTTTAAGGGGAGAAAGCATGCACTCTAGATTGGGCAGTCTGGGAGACCAGTAAAATAAAACGCTAGCAGGGTCCCCTAAGACCATCGGAAAACACAGATATTTACATTACGATTCGTTAACAGTAGCAACATTACAGTTATGAAGGAGTGCCGGAAATGGGGACTGTGGTAAAGGGTCGCGGCATCAGAAAGGTTGAGAACCACTGCTCTGAGGGGAGAGTGCCTCCTGCCTCTTCCGGCTTCGGGAGGCCCAGTGTCCTTGGCTTGTGGCTGCATCACTGCCACCATCTTCACGTGGCCTTCGCCCCCCTGTGTCTCTGTGTGTGTCCTGTTATAAGGATACCAGTCATTGGGTTTAGGGTAAGGTGACCAAACGTTTTTGCAAAAATCGGGACTTTTTTAAAACGCCGCGGGACGCGGGACAGATTGTTAAAAGGCGGGACTGTCCCGCCAAAAGCGAGACGTCTGGTAACCTTAGTTTAGGGGGCCAGCTGAATACTCCGTCATGACTTCATCTTGAGGTTAATTCTATCTGCAAAGTCCCTTTCTCCAAATAAAAGTCCCATGCACAGGTTGGGGGGCGGGGGGGAAGGGGTGGACGCCCTAGGATGCTTCCACCATCCCCCCACGGCTGCCGGTGCTAACCTGCCCCGTGGGGGCTGTGCTTGTCTCCAGGTGCATCGCGGGCTGCTGCTTCATCCCCTTCTGCGTGGACGCCCTGCAGGACGTGGACCATTACTGTCCCAACTGCAAAGCTCTCCTCGGCACCTACAAGCGACTGTAGGACTCGGCCAGACCCGGAGGAGGGAGCCGTGTGCGTGGCAGGAAGTCCTTCCCGACTCTCACAGGCTCCACCCCTGATGGAGGAGGGTCCACCTCGGTGGTCTCATCTCTCCGTCTCTTCTTGTCTTCTTTTATTTGGGGGGGAAATATCGCAAAAGCAACACACTTCCCGGCCCCAGAAACTGCTGCTTGGAGTCGTGCACAGGACATGCAAAGACATTGACCTTGAGGACTGGGTCAAGGGTTTTCCCGCCTGCCCGCGACCCAAGCCGTCCATCCAACTGTGATCGTTGCCCCGCCTGGATATCTTCTGGTGTCGCCTTGCCAGCTTCCTTCCTCACCTCCGGGGGCCTTTCCGGGGGCGGCTCAGCCTGAGGAGCCACAGGAGGCTTTGTTTCTGAGGCCTGTGGCCTGGATAGGACTAAGCCAGCCGGTAGCGCTGCCATCGCACCCTCTGTCCTCACGTCTGATGGCAGCAGTCTTGCCTTAAGGCCTCGGCTCTCGGATTCTGTAACCGCAGGCTTTCTGCTCGCACGAAAATCCACTTTCATTTTTTTTTTTTACTTCGTTTTTAACGACATGGAGGGGACCACTCCCAGCCCCCAGCCCCACAGGAGCGCGCTGGGGACACAGCGTTGGCTCTCGTCTCGGGCCGGCTTCCCTCCGTTCTGGGTGCCAGACCCTCAGCCAACTTTTCACGAAGGGCTTTTTCTTGTGGAGAAATTATTATTTGTATGAACCGTTTTTATGACCCTTAGGCCTTAAACTGCCTTGGAACGTGATTTTGACAGAAGGGGTTTTATAGAACCATTTTCCGTGGCCGTATAATTGGTGTCATTTTCCCTTTTGCCAGGGTACTCTCGTATAAATATACCTATTTTTTCCTCAATAGAAAAAGCCACGGGGAACTGCAGCCCCGGCCTTCCCTTGGGCTTCAGTGTGGTCCTTACGAACCTCTGTCAGGGAACAAAGAGCCAGGCCCCTTTTGGGGGTGTGTTTGGAAAGACGAGGAAAAGCACGTGTGAGCATGTCGGGTTCCATGGTGCTGGAGAGCGTGGGCCCTGAGTGATTTCAAAGGAATCTAAAGTCCGGTTTTAGTTTTCCAAAGTAGAATTTGTTGTATAGCCTCGGGAGACATGATTTCTGGGACTCAAGCAGCAAGCCAGGCTCCTCGGGCGGCTGCTGCGTCATCTCTGAAATCGAGACAAAGCCGGACTTGACTTCCCCGAGTCCCCATTTTGATACTAAGTAGGTCCAAGGAGTGCATGTGAATAATACCATTTAGAAATCAGGCCTCGTCCTTGAGTGGAAAATCTGTTACCGGCTGAGAATTAGTCATGATCATTGATTCAGCGCATTCATTTGATGTTTTGGAAGTTTCAGTAATTATTTTTTTTTCTCAACGAATATGGATACTACATTGTACTTTGGTGTTTATATCTGCTTTAAAAAAAATAAAGTGTTTGGTTCACGTGGTGAACTATTTATCTACTCTTCCCGTGCGAAGGAAGGCCTCGTGCTTCTAGTCCCCGTGACCGAGGACCTTTATCTGCCTCGTCGCAGTAGAACTCGGACCCACTGCGTAGCCCGCGGTGCCACGATGCAGACGCTGAGCTGGGTGGGTTGCTGGTGAGTCCGATTGAGCGTTAGGCTGTTGGGACTCAACAGGCATCATCGGTGGCAGCCAGCCGCAGCTTTCGCGTTTTAATAAAACGCACAGAAGAGAGCTGTCCCCATTCATTCTCCGAACAACACACGCTTTGTTCACGGGTCCGGGTGGCTGTGGCCGCTGAAAGGAGAGCTTTGTCACCCGCAGGGAGTGGGACTGCCATCCTCCCTTCCCTACCTGCTTCCTTCTGGCAGATGCAGGAGAATAATATCCTCGGTGTGGCGAACGTCGTCATTTAAACCCATCTTAGGGTCTCGGAAAAGTGCCTTTCCCTCAGTTTGGGTCCTGCATTTTCCTTTTCATTTGACAAAATGGAGAGCCATGCATATTCAGCAGTTTTGTTCAGAGGGTGGTCCAGGGAGGTTTCCAAGCTGCTATTAATTACGTATGTAAAGGCTTCAAAACAAGAGCCCTGCTTCAGGGGCCATGAGTTATCCAGTGGGACCTTTAATGTCAGATGCCTGGAGACTCCCTCCCGAACCTGGGCTCCGCTGGGCACTTATTGGACCTGCCATTTCATTGTCCCGTGTACAGGGCTCACTCCTGTCTTTGTACCAACTGAAGGCTCTTTCGTTCTGCCACTGTTTGTTAGGGATGTTGGCGTGCAAAGACTGAGTCACATTCGATTAATAAAGGTGTTTGTATCTATCGATCTCAGCGAAGAATTCTACCAATTTCTGAACCCCACATGGTTGTGTTTCATATATACCGTTAGGCCATCGAGGTGAGGTGACCTTGTATGGAAGAGTTGCTTTGTGTCTTGTTCACAAAACCGATTCAGTTATTTCATCTAGCTAAGCCAACTTGAAGCACATGACCGATTCCTGGCAGATCACAGCACTGCCCATGAAAAAAAAAATTTTTTTTCTGGCACAACTGGCTTCCCAGTGGCTATTGCGAACACTTCAATAGGCACCGAACTATTTCTAAATGTGGCGTCCTACGCCACGTGGCCTCGGTTTTCTTCCCAGTGACAGCCTCATGATAAAATTCTTCTGACTTTCTGGGGTCAAAGGTCTCCGTTAGGAGTAAGTATGGAGCTTGTACTTTGACTTCCAAAGTTCCCATTTGCATTTTGAAGCCTTTTAAAGTGATCGCCTGCATCTATGACTCACATGTTTACAATGAGTCATCTGTTTGTCAGAGACACATGAGGGATTGAAAATAGACCCAACCCAGTAAGGGTGATGAAAGAGAAAGGAGATTTTTAGTCCTAGAATTTTAAAGAAACAGTATTCTGAGTCTCAGAAAGATTAAAAAAACAACAACACAAAAACACTGCATGACCTAACCTACAGTCTGATGCATTTACTTAACTGTTTTTGCGACTGTTCTCTGAGGTATTAGGAAAATGTTCACATGTTTAAGTACCCTTTCTCCCCTAAAAATAAACTTTTTTCAGAGCAGTTTTAGGTTTATGGCAAATTGAGAAGAAAGAGCAGAGTTCTCATATGCCCAGATTCCCCCGTTAACAAATCCTCACCTGACTGGCCTATCCAGGACAACTGACGACCTACATTGATACACCATCCCCCCAAGCTCATAACTTGCATTGCAGCTCACTCTGGTGCGTGTGCAGTGGGTTTGGACAAACGTTTAAGGACGTGTCCATCATTACAGCGTCACAGAGAGGAGCTCCAATGCCCTGCAAGTCCTCTCTTCCACCTGTTCATCCTCCCAACCCCCAGCCCCTGGCACCCACTGATCCATTTGTTTATTGTCTCCACGGTTCTGCCCTTTCCCAAAGTGGGAACAGGGTTGTATCCTTTTCAGCCTGGCTGCTCTCACTCATGCATTTAAGTCCTCTCCCTTCCTTTCTAGCGCTGAAGAGCGTTCCATTGTTCGGGTAAGCCACATATTGAATTACTTTTTTAAAAAAAAATATATTTTTATTGATATTTTACAGAGAGGACGGGAGAGAGATAGAGAGCTAGAAACGTCGATGAGAGAGAAACATGGACCAGCTGCCTCTTGCACACCCCCTACCGGGGATGTGCCCGCAACCAAGGTACATGCCCTTGACCGGAATGGAACCCGGGACCTTTCAGTCCGCAGACCGACGCTCTATCCACTGAGCCAAACCGGTTTCGGCTTGAATTACTTCTGTTGTTGTTGTTCATCTTCACCCAGGAATATTTCCCCATTGATTTTTGGAGAGAGGAGAAGGGACGGGAGAGACAGAGAGGAAGAGAGACACATCAATTGGTTGCCTCCTGCAGGCACCTGCAACCAAGGTTCGTGCTCTTGATGGGAACTGAACTGGGACCCTTCAGTCTGAGGGCCAACGCTCTAGCCACTGAGCAATCTGGCTAGGGCACATTTAAGTGCTTTTAAAGATCTTAACACGGTAGTGTCTCACGTGATCTTGTACTAGTTTCCCAAATGGGCAAAATCAACTTAGTGTGTCAACACCACGTGTCATCATGGTGTATGGTGGAGTTTTGAAACCTGTGGTTCTATGGCTGTGTATGTGTGGGGGTCACATACAAAGGGAGTGCCCAAGGCAACATCTGGTAGCCTCTGATCTGGCACATCATACAGCTGTGGTCCTCATGTTTCTTGCTGACTGACTCTGGCTGTATTTGAGATGTTGGATGGTCCGGGTACCAAACCCAGCCCTGCCTGGGAAGAGTGAGCAGTGGGCTCAGTCCTGCCCTGCCCACTTTCCTGGTGGCTTCTTTAAGACAAACAAAAAACCCCACTAAAACTTGCCTGACATTAACATGTGTAATTCAATGTCATGCAGTACATTCACGGTGTACAACCATCACCAAAACATTTCATCAGCCCACCTAAAACTCCACACCTCATCCCTCCCCACCCCTCAGCACCTGGCAGCACCACGTTCCCTCCTGTTCTTTGGATTTGCTTACTCTAGATAAGTAAGCAAATCTTATCTAAATCTTATCTTTCCTATAAACGGAATCATATAATATGTGCCCTGCTGTGTCTGGCTTCTTTCACTTAGCATCATGTTTTTAAGGTTCATCCAGCACAGCAGGTGTCACTGCTTTGTTCCTTCCCCGCCCCCCTTTAATATTTTTATTGATTTTAGATGTGGGGGAAGGGAGAGAGAGAGAGAGAGAAAGAGAACATCGATGTGAGAGCAGAATGTTGATTGGCTGCCTCAAGCACATCCCCATATCCAGGATCAAGCCTGCAACCCGGGCATGTGAAGAGAACCAGGAATAGAACCGGCAACCTTTCCGTGCATGGGACACCGCTCCACCCACTGAGCACCACCGGCCAGCTTTGTGCTTTTGTCCCGTTTAGTGGGAGAATAACTGTGTGTTTATACCGTATTTTGTTGATGCCCCATCCCTGATGAATAT